ACAGTTTCATATTTATTAGATGTTTCAGTTAAATTTATTTCACATTATCAACCACCTCATTTTTCATGGCAAGTTTCTTAAAACCATCAATATTTTATGTAATTGATAACTGCCATGTGCATTCAGAGTTTAAAGCTGTCACTTGTTATTGGTCATCCATTTCCTGGCTGTCACAAGATTTTAAATATTATGCTTTATTGTTTTATTTACCTTAGGTGAATATGTTAGGGGATGTCAAGATTTGATGTTGCTGATTTACTGTTTCTCTGAGAAATTCACCATTCACTTATATTTTTACATAAACTTGTTTTGCTGGTTTCCTTATGATACTTCTATAGTTAACTGGTTAGATCTTTAATAAATCCATCAAAAACTGGTTAGATTATGTTATTTGAAACACCCAATTTCTGTTGGAACATATAGTATTTTGATAAGCTTAATGGTATTACTATGGGGTTATATCTTGGTCCAACTTTAACTAATGCCTTCCTCTGTCACAATGAGTAATCATGTCTCGAAAACTTGAATTTAAACCTATCCAGTAAAGAAGGTTCATTGGCCTAACCGTATAATTTTTTTGAATAGAGTTGTTTAAACATTTGTTCAACAACAGTTCAAATACCTATAGAATGATAGGTTTCTTTTTTGTGAGTGTAAAACACTTAAATACACCATTTCGTATAATGTTTTATTTAAGACATGAAGCATGGATTCTGTTAGTTCAGTAGAATACTTTTAAAGTGCTTAGATTCTGTTGTTTTATTTACTTTGTATCTCAAAGATATTCAGTATTAAAAACAGGATTAACAAATACATTTCATATGTTATTTTACTTAATTTACTGTGCTAATACATAATTGTACAATAGGTTGTACAGGTACTTGTCAACAAGTAATCAGCTTAAATAACTCAATAAATATTCTACGCAATGCAATGATAGCAAGTTTATTTTCAAAATAAGATACGTTTATTTACATGCATTTAAACAGTTAGAAGAAAGTCTAACTTAAAGTAACTACTATTAAAATTAGGGTAATTTCAGTTCACTGCTGTTCCTAAACTTTTAACACAAAGCAAAAGAGATTCAATAACTAGTGGCTACAAGAGATTACCAAACAATTTTCACAAGTTTAATGACACAGATATGCTGGAGAGCCTGAAACAGAAGATTATCTATGGAGTTTGTGCAATATATATACACAGTATGGTAACTATAACAGAATAAAGGTAACCGTATTTAATGTTCTTTGGCAGAAATTCATTAGACATTAAAGGAAGTACATTAAAAACCAAAGAACATCTTTATTAACTTATTACTTTCTTTGAAGCTTGAACTGAAAAAAAAAAAAAATGTAACTTTTGTTTCATTTTTATTATTGGCTCTGTTACATATTTGTAAGCACAAATAATTCCTGTGGTTATCCCTCAACACTATTTAACCTCAATGGACCACATGAAGAAGTCAATGTTAACTATAGATGACCCAGATGCCAAGTTTTTAACAGAGACAGCAACGTTAGCATGCATGCACACTCAAGAATATTATTTACAATATCAGTAACCCCCTGTTTTCCATTTGCTGAAGAAAATTTACTACTACATTTATTTAATGGCCAGGGCTAACAATGAACATATTCACAAATAAAAAATGGGTAGAAAACATACAAAACAAGAACACAGCAAAGAAAGAAAAAAAGACGGGGGTTAATTTTTGGCCCTAAAAAGGCTCATGAGAATAAATTTCCACCAATATCTTCACACTTTGAGCAAGCACTTTTACAAATGCTAGCATGTTAACTTTTTAATTTTCCATTCCATTTCAAAAGCTAGAAATTATAAACATTATAATGGTGCTGTTGAATCACTCTTTCATAGAAACTTAAAAACAAGTGTTCACTGCTATATGAATTGGAACCTTGACAATTAAGAATGTGATACACATGTATGACTATTTTCATGTTACAGGTACAGTTTATCCTTTTCATTTTCTTATCACCTTTGAATACAAACTAGAAAGGTGCAATAAAAAACTTCTACTGAAGTCATTCTTGCTCTATTTCTGCAAGACTTAGTTATGATTAATATCTGTGGGACTGTTTACTGAAATTATACTTGCTTTCTAGGGTTGGTATATTAATGGTACTTATTATGTATAGTTGGTTTATGTGAAATGGTGAAACACTACTTAATATCACTGATTTCCTTATTAAGGCAAGCAATGTTAAAAAAAAAGAGGTTACTTCTGTATATACACTATCAAGTGGATTCTCTACACATCACTGTTCAACCCCAAAAATTACATTTCTCTATAAAATACCCTTTTCTCTATGAAGCCGTAACTACATTTTTGATTGGAGCTTCTTCACTAGAAAAAAACTCTCAATCCAGATTATCTTAACAACTGAACTAAGAACACAAAGCCGTGTAAAACATTTTAACTCTTCTCTTCTAGGCAGGCACTTTTAACTGATCCATGCATATATTAGATCAAAACCTACATCACAAGTGCTTTATGTTCCTTCACACTTCATTTAACTAGAAAACAAAGCATGCTGTTTCATTACTAGTCAATGAAAGTTGCATCATTAAAGAATTACTTTTAACTATGGCCATGGATACAACAGTAAATAAAAACTGATAATTAAATATATAGGTAGGACAAAGAAAAAGTATTAAATTTCTGAAACCAAAATCAAATATCATTTAAAAAAAACAATTACAGGAAATGAAAGAACTGTAAAGATCACAAAAAATAGTTCTTTTAGAGATTAAGATATAAAAACAATCATCCCAAACTGTAACAGGTTTCATAAGTGTTATTTATGACATAGTCTCCTGGAAATTTTCAGACATAACAATGTATGCTGAGTTTGTTTTGCACAAAAATACAGCAATAACCATGTTTAGCTTAAAACTAAACACAGTAACTACAGTACTGATTTATACAGAACTAAAACATGATGAAATACTAAACTAAAAAAAATTGCTTTACACAAGTTAATTGAGCTGTATATAATATAAGGGTAAAAAGCTAAGTTTCCAGTTTATTGCTGAGCCATCAGAGCACTTCTATAAAATTATATTTGTCAGTGAGTTTATTCCTAATAGTATGAATATTTAAAAATCAATAAACAGTATCTTAATTATAATAAAACATGAAACCACTATGTAGACTACATTTCAATGTTTACCTAAAACAGGGTATGCATAGAACACTGATTGACAGTCTGTGGCTTTAGTTTGCATTCAAGGATTATACAGAGGACTGTATTTTATGATAATCTACATGACTATTTATAAATAAAAAGCAGCATTTGTTCACAAATACTTTTTTCCCAGAATAATGCCTGATTTATGTTCAAGCATATTTCAATTTAGTAATCTCTTTATTACTGGAAAATGAAAAATATTTTACAGCAGTTGATGGTTCAAAATTTTTCTCTTATTTTCTAAATAAGTCATTACTAAAATTACCCAATGATTGTTCTATCTGAGATATCAAGACAAACAGGGTACAGAAGAGAGAGAAACATCCCCAACAGATAGCACAACCTCTCTCAACGGATCAGGAGCACCAAAACAATTAAATATTTAATGATACATGTACAAGACTGGTTGGTGTTTTCCACACGTAAAGAAACCTGTAAAGGGTTATTCACAAAAGGCACGTTCTTGTAAATGGGATAATACTGAAATGACGAAAATAAAATAACAAAAATAGGAATACATAAGGTTTTATGAAGAACTGTAAAATAAAGTAGAAGAATGCATAGTTAACAATAATTCATATCACTACTCATTTTTGATATTTAATACGAGACACACACACAAAAAAAAAACAAAAAACAAACACCAAATAGAGGGAAATTTATAAATGAAACGTGTGCTTTTACTGTGTAATTCTATATATTGCTGCAAGTATGATAATGCAGTTTGTTTTCTTAAGACACTACATACTGTGAAACAAATTTTCAATTCATCAACATTCTAGAGATTAAAGTTGGCGAGTCAGCCCTTGTAGGCAACTATACCAAAACATTCTGGAGATTAAAGGTGGCGAGTCAGCCCTTGTAGGCAACTATACCAAAACATTCTGGAGATTAAAGGTGGCGAGTCAGCCATTGTAGGCAACTATACCAAAACATTCTAG